CTCATAATTTTCAAGTGATATTTTAATTTATATAACTAATTTAAGCCAAAATAGCCATCCGAGCTTGAAAAATAGTGTTACAAACATAAGGATTCTCTCTAACCTTGGAAAAATCAAAGAATATCTCCTCTTTCATGAGGAAAAAAACCCTAAAAATCTCAAGCTATGATGAGAAATATTTAATCATAATAAATTAAACTACTACAAATACTATTTAATTAATTAAAAATAAGACACTTAGCAAATAATTTCTATTTTTGTTCCACATTATTTCTCTCTAATCACTGAGTAAGAGGGTATTTTATTTTATTTTTATGATATCTCTATGAAATATTATGAATTTTTAAAGATTTGGCATTTATTTAACTTTGAAAAAGGCCTATTTTTCTACTTATCCACGCAATGTCATGACATCCTTGTCTGCTCCAAAATTTCCACGCGGCGCTCCGCCATTCGACGCCGCCAAACACCTCAACACCTCGTCAGTCCACGGTTTCTTTCCAACCATCCATTTGGTACAATCTACAGCACTCGTTTGATACACGTGGAAATAGAAGACATTCAATCATCGTCCACAATCTCTCTGACCCGAGAGTTTTTCAACTTTAAATCTTAATATCTCTCTTGATACTCAATCAAATCACATGTGGTTTGTTCCTACACCTTCATCTTTAAGATGAACACATTCATATGGTTACAATGTTAAAAAAATTTAGTTTATACAATTGGAGAGTCAAATTAAGCTCGATTTAGGGTCAGAGCTCAATAACCATATCTCAGAGGTGGGGCCTCAATCAGATGGTTGGAAAAGCATTATAGGAGTCCAACGAGCCTTCAGATGAGATCTTTGGTTGTGGTGAATTGCCTAGGTATGATATGGCCAAGTCTGATTTCAGCAATTGGTCTAGATCTGGGTTAAAGGCTCTCTGTGATAAGGCTTTTGCGGGGAGTCAACTCCTCTAACTCTGGGGATGGTGTCTGCACAGTTAATTGAACTTTGGTGGACTATGGTGGTGTGGGGAAATATGTCCTAGTTTTCTCTGAAATTTGAACTTAGAATTAAGCTCTCACAGAGGAATATTGAGGGGGAAAATGATGAGCTTGAGCTTATGAGTTCTTGGAGAGTGTTTGAAAGCAATGGGGTAGAGTTTCCCTAAGGAAATTGGTTAGCTCATTTTTTGGCCATGGAAAAGGTGGTTAAAATAGAGGGCAAATGGGTAGTTGGTTGGGCTCCACTTTGGGTGCAATCAATAGCTTATGTGGAGTGCTAAATAATGCCAAAGAATAATTGGAATGAGCCAGTTTGGATGGGTGCAAACGGGTTTGGATTGAGGCATGGGATCTCTTGATTTTGGCTCCTTCGATGACTAGGATGGCTAGCCAGGATAGAGGAGGTGCTCAAATGCCTCAGAAATCTTAGAGGATTCAATCAAGGTAACTAATTGGGTTGGTGATGGGTTATTGCAAAGATCTCCTTGACTTAGTATTTTTAGGAAACAAATCCCTTAATTTGACCAACTCTTGGTCCATGGCTCATGTAGGTTGGGCTAAGTGGATTTAGACTAGCCCCTAGAGTCCACATGGTGGTTTTAGTGGTCTTAGTTTGACCACTTTCGCTAGGTTTGATTACATTAGGGTTATGGGTCAATTTGAGGTTAATATTGGCTATGTTGAGCTAATCATGACATTGGACTCAATTGATTGATCAAGATGATGTAGATAATTTTTAAAATGACTTTAGAAAATTTTTGGAGTTATTTTGAATTGATTTGGAAGTTCAAATTGAAGGATTTTGGCTTATGATCAATTTTTGGTGTGCTAGGTTAGACTGTGGTTTCAGTTGGGCTAGAGTTTTGCTATGGCCCAATTTATGGATCAATTTGATGTGGGTGATTGTCATGAAGGGTTTTTTATACCAATTGGGTGGAAATTTTGGGTTTATGGAGTTCAATCTGGTGGAATTTGGGGACATGGCTAATCTGGGGAAAAATTAGGGGTTTGCTCCAAGTTGAGTTTTAAGTGAAATTAAGGCTTTACCAGGGATAATTAAAGGCTCAATTTGACATGGAAAATTTTTTTAAAGTGTTTATGATGAAAAAATGGGGCAACTGCATGGACTTTGGGGTTCATTAGAGTGAGATTTTGTTTTTGGGTCAAATTGGGGTTTTTAGATTTGCGTTAAAATTAGATTGAAATGTGGGTCAATTGGGCTTAGATTTAGTTTCAATCAAGCTTGGACATGATGAATTTGAGTTTAAAATTGAAACTGGGGAAGATTGGGATCAAATTGGTGGACATTAATGGTGAATTGGCATAATTGGGCCTTTAAATGTAATTTGGGACTTTTGGTCAAAATGGGTCAAATTAGTCAAATTGAGCTCAATGGAGTGATTCAAATTGATTTTGGGGATATTTAAAATGATTTTAAAGGTTTTGGGACAATTTGGGTCACCAAGGGTATTTTGGTAATTTTGGCAAATATGGGGTATGTTAGTTATTTTGAAAATTTTGTGGTGTTTAGGGCAATTTGGGCAGTTTCAAATGGTTTGAGATGATTTTTAGACAATTTTGAGCATTTTGGGAACACTTGGGAATCTTAGCCAATTTTGTGGTTTCAAGGGTAATTTGGTTGATTTGGATAGGTTTGGGGGCAAAAGGCTAAGTTGGGTATTTTGTTAAAATTGGGTTGTCAATAACTATATATGAGCCATGGATCAATAGAATTTCTTCCTTTGGGTTTTACATGTACTGGAGCTAGCTAAACACTAGCTTAGGGTTAAGGGGTCTAGGGGACCATCTACAAACAGTAAAGTCCTACGGCTAGACCTTAGTCTACTAAAGAGGGAAGGCTAGACCTCAACAAAAAGTGAGGTTAACCCTATGTTTGAGCTTGGTTCTAGGCCATTTGAGGGTTAAAATTGGTCTAGTGGAATGTTGTGAAGAGTGTAGAATTCAAATTTAGGGAAATTAAATGGGTTAGGGAGTTCAATTTGGTGGAATTTTGAAATTGGGCAAATTTGGGGCCTTCAGATTAGGCTTGAGAATTGTCCTTGAAATTGGGATCATTTGGGCTACAATTTGGTTTCAATTGGGCTTATATACATAATGAAATTTGAATTGGATTTAGAACTGTGGAAGTTTGAAATCAATTTGATGGAAATTGGGGATGATTTGAAGATTTTAGGCATTTTGGAATAAAATTGGGATTTTGGTCAAATTTGGTCAAATTGGTCATTTTGGGCCCAATGGGTGGTTAGGATTAATTTTAGAGATGTTTGGAATTATTTGGGACGTTTTGAGTATTTTTGGGCCATGAGGTGCATTTTGGTATTTTTGACGAAGTTAGGGGTATTTTGGCAGTTTTGGAAACTTTGAGGTATTTTAGGCATGGGTGGTTTGAAATGGTTTGGGATGATTTTTTAAGAGATTTTGAGAATTTTGGAAATTTTCAAAAATTTGGGCTTTTAGGGGCAATTTGGTAATTTTGGAAAAGTTTGGGGGCAAAAGGTCAAAATTGGGGTTTAATGAGGAGGCCAACCACAAAATTACCCTTATGGTGCCATGAGACCATGCAAATCCTCCAATTTAGATTCTCTATGTATTGGTCTTAGCCATCCTAGCCAAAGGCAAAGGGTTTGGGGGACCTCCAGATAAGTTTCCAAGGGAGTAGGGGATCATACTAAGCATGATTAGTTAAGGGTAATAGCTTTGGAGTGAAAGTGAGTGGTCAAGTGTGTGTGTGTATAAGAGTGATAAAACCACACTACTCAAGGCTAACCATAAGGCTAGAATCTTCTGTAGGGACTCCTCATGAGCTCCCTATGCTTGGCTTCTAATAATTATTAGAGGTTAGAGTCAAACATGTGGAACTACAAGAAGAACAATGAGGTGTCTAGAATTTCTATTGGGATAGGGTTTTATTACTAGTTTTCTAGGATATTCAATAGGAAAGTCCTATGGCTAGATCCTAAACTTCTAGAGAAGAAAGACTAGACCTCAACAAAAAGTGAGGTCAACACCCATAAGTTTGTCCAAGAATTTCCATTGGTACCTTTTGCCTAGCACTAATGACCAACTTAGCAAAACTAGTGTGAGTACTCAAGAAATTCTTAAATATGAAGTGAGAGAAACCATTGTTGGAGTAGTGATTTATGGAAATCCGAAGTTTTCTATGATCAAAACTAGCCATTAATAAGTGAGTGATATTAGTGTGTAGAAAATTGTTCAACCAAAATTCATTGGAAAAGAATTTATCTATTCTCTCCCATAGGTTGCCTCTTCTCCATGTAAATTTGTCACCTTAGAACCCAAGGTCATGCAGTCTAACATCCTTAATAGAGTCATTAAATTTTGTAATTTTGGCAAGGTCAGCTGGCCTCCTACAATTTTTTGAAGTGGAGGTGGCAGTGCAGTTGAAATCACCACCCACAATCCGATTACTAGCCATTGAACCACTAATGCTAATAACTTGTTCCCATAGAATTATTTGAGCAGTAGAAGAGCAAGCAGCATACACTGTAGTAGCAAAGTGATGCAAGAAGATTTGTTGTGTAATGTTTTTCAAATATTTTTCAATTTTACAAAACAAACACGAAAACACTTGTAATAAATATGCATTTTAATCCAATAAAAATAACTTAGTAAAATAATTTTATCTTTTAAAATAATTAAATTGTCAAATTCGTAATAATAATAATAGAAGTATGAAAACTAAACAAAATTTATGTGACGAAGAGTTCAAATTTAAGTAAGCATCCTTCTCCTTTACAATGAGTATATGGATTGTGAAGAAATTAAATTCATTATATTTTTTTTTATGTAAGGAGCATAGCTCCAATTAATTAAATGTAGCCAAGTACAAAGAGAAGGAAGGTGACAGGAGAGGGCCTTTATAAAGGGAAGCACCTCTCTAACCTATTACACATACTTTCTAAGATAAGGGATAGGCAAACGATCACTGGATAAAAGGAAGTCCAGTGGGGGGGAATTCTTCTACTAACTAGTGGAACTTCTGTAAAAAGTCCCCTCCTAGCTAGCCAGTTGGCTGGTCTGTTTCCTTCTCTGTGAATATGAGAAAACTTTAAAGAGCAAACTTTAAGCAGTTGATGAATATCAGACATCCAGCAGATTAAATTCCATGGAGTTTTTGAGATCCCATGGAGGATGTTAATAAGTTGCAAGGAGTCAGATTCAACCCATAACTGATCAAGCAAGCAAGATCTGGCTAAGTTGAGGGCCCAGAAAACTGCTTGACATTCTGCCTCAAGTGAGTCAACAGCCTTGATTGGAGATTGGAAATATAAGATGCATTTCCCCTCATGGTTCCTAAAAACCCCACCAATGCCTGCAGACTGGGATTTATGGCTGCCATCTATGTTAATTTTGATCCAACCAAGCTTTGGGAGAGTCCAGCAGATAGTCACAACTTTGGAAGTTTGAGGCTTGAGAAAAGAAACAATCTCCAACACAGTCTTATACTTTTTAAAGTTGATCAGTTTTTGAATGAAAGCAATACAATTTAGACCCACCGTCTTAGGATCGATAAGGGAGCTATCATGCTTTGCCTGGTTCCTTGCCATCCACACAAACCATGCCACAATATTGGGGATGTCCTGGAGTTCAGCACCCCTCCAATCAGCCCAGCTAGTATAGAACATCTTCCATGTGAGGTGCAAGGTTGGGATTCTAAGTTTACCAATCACAAATGACCAAACATCCTGTACCCAATGACACTCAAAGAACAGATGGGAAATTGTTTCCTCTTGAGATAAGCAGAAAAAGCATCTAGAAGGACCCCTCAAACCCTTCAATTTTAGGATGTCATCCGTGGGAATCATTTTTGAGAAAAGTCTCCAAATGAAGAAGGACATGGATGGGGTAAGGAATTTATTCCAGATGGTGTGACCCCAGTGTACCAGATGGGGTTGCTGAGAAGGGATAGGGTTCTTTCTAACCACAATTTTGTCTTTCACCCCAGGTTTGATAGTAAGCTTCTGAATATTGCTTATTTGAGATGGGCTACAGAAAGGAATGATAGGAGCAAGGTTCCACTTGCCAAGAGCCCAGATGTCTTTCACAAACATAGGGGTAGCTGGGACAAACTGGTCCTGAATAAGGCAACCATCCAATGACCAATTATCCCACCAGATGTTAACCAAGCCCTCACCAAGTTCCCAGACAAACAACTGTTCAGCATCCTGTCTAACTTTTAACATCCTTTTCCAGATTGGAGAATCCCCCACACCCACTGAGATTTGGGTGGGGTGAAGATGTCTGCAATATTTGCCCCACAGGAATTCAGCCCATAAGGAAGACTGAGATCTAAATCTGAGCCATAGCTTGCAGAAATTGGAGTGCATAATTTGGGAGAAAGACTTGAATCTTAATCCACCCTCCTCAGCAGGTTTACACACCTTAGCCCAAGAGGTCCAGTGTTTTTGCTTCCTATGGCCAGCCCATAGGAATCTATTAAAGATACCTTCTAATAGTTTCTGAGAGGATTTTTTAAGAATGTTCATTTGTAGTAAGTAGGATGGTAAGGCAGAAAGAACACTTTTGAGAAGTGTAATTCTACCTCCATTAGATAAAAAGAAATTCTCCCAAGCATGCAATTTACTCTGTACCTTGTCAATTATGTGATCAAATTGGATGTTCTTAGTTCTTCCTTTGATAAGAACAGCCCCCAGATATTTCATAGGAAGGATACTGTTTTTGAAACCAGTGAAATCAGCAACCCAGTCTTTAAACTCATTGATGCACTGCTTACTGTAGATGGAAAGGCACTTCATTTTATTGAATTCCATAATAGAAACATCCTGAAAAGTCTCCAGATTCTGCAATAAAATTTTGACAGCACATTTGGAAGCTTTTGTGAAGATTATGATGTCATCAGCAAAGGCCAGGTGATTGATTAATAAGGAAGATTTGTGACTATAAAGAGAATGGGGTTTCCTGGATGCCATCTCATTCAAAATTCTTGATAAGTAGTCAAAAGCTAGAATAAAGATGGTAGGGGAAAGAGGGTCACCTTGTTTTATACCTCTAGAAGCACTGAAAAACCCATGAGTGGATCCATTAATGAGAATTGAATGGAAATTGTTTGACAGCCATCTGCTGATCAGATGGACAAAGGAGGATGAGAAACCTCTAGCAATCAAAACCTGTTCAATGAAACTCCAGCTTATAGTATCATAGGCTTTTTTGATATCTAATTTGAAAATTAGATTGCCTCCTCTAGTGACTCTGTCCAAGTCCAGCACCAATTCTTGGGCCAAGAGCACATTATCCACAATATTTCTATCCCTGATGAAGGCAGACTGATTCCTGCTGATGAGCTTGTTTAGATGGGGCTGTAGTCTTTGGACCAAGATTTTACTGATTATCTTTGAGATAACAGAAGTAAGACTAATGGGTCTGAAATCCTCCCATTTGCAAGGAGTTTTGTCTTTAGGCACTAAAGTAATGGTTGAAGAGGAGAAGTATTTGGGAAGGTCAGCCCCCCAGAAGAAGCTTTGGACAGTGGCAATAACATCACCTTTCACAACATGCCAAGCCTTTTTGTAGAAGTCAGCAGAGAATCCATCAGGGCCAGCCACCTTTGTGCTATCTATGGATTTAAGAGCTTCCCAAATTTCCTTTTCATCAGGGATGTTAGTAAGGGATAGAAATAACTTATCTCCATATATAAAAACAACTTTACAACCCTTGTGCTATCTAGGGATCCGTATATATATTATAATTATTTTTACTAATGTTATTTTTATTAGGAATAAGTTGCATATTTATTAATAGTGTTGTCGTGTGTGTTGTGTAATATTAAAAAATATTTACAAAAGCAACACACAATAAATAGCACATCAAGTTTTTGGAGTTGTTGTCAGGGAGTAACGGTAAATTCTTTATAATTTAAAACATTTCATTTGAACTAAAATCTTATTATAGTTTAATTTGAATATTTTCATATTTTAGCTTGTTTGCTTATTTTAATTACTTATTATGTTTGTTTATACATAGTTGAAGATCTGAAAATTTAGTACCTTGTGATTTAAAGTTAGAAAAGAACAACGAGAAAAATTTGAAAATAATAAAAAGAAATAGATAATTTTAGCAAAATGGCTTGCAATTTAAACAATTCTGGAAAGGAAAATGAGCAAAGGGCCTATGATCAGACCCACTCATAGCCAGATGTTGGACAGAAGTATGGAGGATCTCTCTAAACCATAAGTCATTTACTAGAAACTTTCAAGCCTCTCTCAGATCTTCCCCCTTCTCCAAGTAAATTTAGGACCTTTGAACCCCAAATCAAAGAGCCCAGCAGACTGAATGTTATCATTGAAAGTGTTAATTCGACTAATATCAGGAGATCTCCCTCCCTTCTTCTCACAGGGAGAAGAGAGGCTGTTAAAATCACCACCAACAACCCAGAAATCCTTAATAGAGGAACTGAGCTCTAATAATCCTTGCCAAAGGTTCAGTCTTGCAGTAGCTGTACAGCCAGCATAAATGAAGGTAGCAAATCCCTGATAGTAACTGAAATTGAGTTGAAGATGGATGAACTGATCTCCATCTACAAGAACATTGCAAAGGACTTCTTTTCTGCATAGAATCCAAATTTTGTTATTAGAATTTGTAAGAAGCTGGAATCCAGGGAATTTTCTCACAAATCTGTTGACATTTTTAGAGACCATTGGTTCAAGAAGAGCAATGATCCAAGGTTTATACATCCTGTTGAGGGCTAGAACTCTATTAAGGGAATTGGGATGAGCAAGTCCCCTAACATTCCAACAGATTAAGTTCATTAACCTATAGAAATTGATTTCCCTCTTCTCCTAGTTCTAATAGAGCTAGAAGAAGGAGGGTAGGGGGCTTCCTCCAAAGGGGTGGAAAAAGACATAAGATTCTTTAATTCCAGAGGCAATTTCTTCTTCTTAGTTCTTTGGACTTGCCAGCCATCTTCAAGGTTTCTGGTTAACTGCAAAAGCAAAGGGTCCTCCTCTGGGATCTCATTAACTGTTGTCTCAGTGTCAGCAGGAAGGGTGGAGGGATTCGACTAATATCAGGAGATCTCCCTCCCTTCTTCTCACAGGGAGAAGAGATGCTGTTAAAATCACCACCAACAACCCAGAAATCCTTAATAGAGGAACTGAGCTCTAATAATCCTTGCCAAAGGTTCAGTCTTGCAGTAGCTGTACAGCCAGCATAAATGAAGGTAGCAAATCCCTGATAGTAACTGAAATTGAGTTGAAGATGGATGAATTGATCTCCATCTATAAGAACAGTGCAAAGGACTTCTTTTCTGCATAGAATCCAAATTTTGTTATTAGAATTTGTAAGAAGCTGGAATCCAGGGAATTTTCTCACAAATCTGTTGACATTTTTAGAGACCATTGGTTCAAGAAGAGCAATGATCCAAGGTTTATACATCCTGTTGAGGGCTAGAACTCTATTAAGGGAATTGGGATGAGCAAGTCCCCTAACATTCCAACAGATTAAGTTCATTAACCAATAGAAGTGGATTTCCCTCTTCTCCTAGTTCTACTAGAGCTAGAGGAAGGAGGGTAGGGGGCTTCCTCCAAAGGGGTGGAAGAAGACATAAGATTCTTTAATTCCAGAGGCAATTTCTTCTTCTTAGTTCTTTGGACTTGCCAGCCATCTTCAAGGTTTCTGGTTAACTGCAAAAGCAAAGGGTCCTCCTCTGGGATCTCATTAACTGTTGTCTCAGTGTCAGCAAGAAGTGTGGAGGGATCAGTGCAAAGATTTTGATCAGTTGAGATAGATTGTGGCATGGGATGGAGGTGCTCAATGGGTGAGTCATGAGCAGATTGGGGATTGGGAATCACACTCTCTTGTACCAAAACTTGAGGAAGCTCTTGTGCAACAGTTCCAGGCAATTCAGTCCTTATATCAGTACCAGTAATAGCAGTAGGTACCTCCTTGTTCTGAGGAACAATCTCCTCTGAAAGTTGCTTGGGGGTCTTCCTTCTGAGTGTAGGATGGAGTCTGAAACACTTATCATCAGTATGACCAAACATATTGCAATGATGGCAATAGTAAGGCCTTTGTTCAGCTATGATTTTCTGCCAATAGCCATTATGTTCAGTGCCTAACCATATTTCCTCCACAGCTGGAAGGGTAATGTTTCTCTCCACTAGGATTCTAGCTACAGAAGGTCTAGACAAGTTGAAAGTAGGGCCATCCAATTTCAATGGTCTTCCCAATGCTTTGCCAATGTTGAAAAGGACTTTATGGTTGAAATAATGCAGTTTAAGCCCAGGTAACTTAAACCATATAGGGACAATGGGAAGTTCTTTGTTGGGATCAAAATCAGGAGTCCACTTTAAAAGCTTCATTGGAATACCTTCAATCAATATGGATTGTTTGGAGAAGATTCTTGCATAGTCTTCCTCTCTTGAGAGATTAATAAGTATGTGTCTGCCATCAAGTAAGCCAACTTTCCAAGCCCCTTTGAATTTCAAACCATCAAAAAACCTTCTTACAGACTCCATCTTTGGGTGGCCAAGTTGGAATTTACCAATTAAGGTAAATTTTTGACATTCAGTTAACCCATTTAGATCCTCTTCAGTAAAGTAGATTGCCAACTTCCCACCTTTCTTGCTAATAGGTTTAAACAGGGGGTCATGACCCTCATGATAATCTTGAGGAAAGACCAAATCATCAGGATTATGCACTGCCTCCTGACCTTTCCCCACAATGTCAGCAAAAGTGGCTTTGGCCCACTGAATGTTGGTGGAGATGTCAATGGGAATAGGGTCAGACATCACAAAAAAAGTCAAAGGAACCCCAAGCAGGCATAAGTCAGAGAACAGCCAAAGAACCTAACTTCGCAGCTAGTGAAGCAAGCAAACAGCCAAGCAGGGAAAGAGAAACCACAAAGAGGCTAAACAAAGGAAGGAAGATGAGTCTTAATAAACCAAAACTCCAGTGGGGTGTCAAAGGAAACAACCCCAACAGAAACAGCAAACAAAGGCAAAACTATGGAACAGCCAATGGAACAGTAAAGGTTTGAAATGGAAAAACCCGGGAAGGTGTAAAAGCTTAAAGGGTCGAAAAAACCTGCTATGCCCAGTAAAGAGATGAGAGAAAAACAGTTGATGACAGTTATTAGCAAGTAATAAACCCTTTACCACATCAAGTAGGATATATATAATTTTATTGTGCCAAATAGGAGAAACTCTATTCTTTACCCTCTTTCAAGTGCATAAAGAACACTGACTAATCCAAAGTTTGGTCCCTAATTCTGTGGTTAGGTTTGGAGGATACCAGCTCTCACTCCAGAGCTCCCACTACTCCCTCTCCTGAGGCCTATCAATCTCACAATAGTTTCAAATCAACTGGATCAAATTAAGGATTTTAATATGTCACAGCAAAAATCTCCAATTTTGTATCTAACAAACTATATTTCCCTATTTATTTGCATTCATCACCATGGATAACATCTCACCCATGAAATTGAATGTGACTCTCCTCATGTTGTAGAAATCATAACCCTTTCAGATCAAATGTTTTTCAACACATTGTAACATTTCAATTGACTAGATCAAAAAGTAAATGAAGATCGGAGTTCAAATCATCACAAATTTTTTATAATTAAAATCGTATAAAACAAAATCAATTCTTCACAAAATCCTATCTTAAAGCGGGGAGAAAGATAGTGAAGATTACTTAGAATTCCCTCCAAAGTTTTATCCAAAAGTCAACATTTTGAATTCCAAAGAACATGTTTATTGATTCAAGAGACATATCCCTTCATCAAAGAACCTTCCAAAGTATATAGATGCATTGAATCACTCCATGGGGCGTTTGAAACAAGTGGACCCTTCAAAATTCAAGTAAAATTTGTCCTGAATCACCTTAATTCATAAAAAGTCACTAGTGCCTCAGACGCTGATTCTGGTGCTTCAAGCGTTGCCTCTCTATAAAATGGTGCTTCAAGCACCAAATCCGATGCTTCAGTCACCAGCTTTCTGTAAAGTGGCACTTCAGGCGCTAAATTCACAAAATTCACTATTTTGGCTCCAAATTTTGTCATTTTTTCTACTTTTTCTCCAAATATGTAAAATTAAGATACCTGAAACATATAAATGAAAATACTCTTCTTTAAAGTGCAATATCACCAAAATTTAGCATAAAATGTATACTTAGAAAAACACATTATTTTGGTGTATCAAATACCCCAAACTTAAATGTTACTACTCCTTAAGTGACACTTTTACTACATAAAAATATGACTTAGGATAGAGATTAACTTATAAACTTCTACACTTTAGTTTCATAAATAAAATAGTAAAATTTAAGAAAAACTTTTAATAAATTAAATTAAAACTATACGTCTAAAAAAACTTAGCAATAAAATCTAAGATTTCTGAGTCTCTTCTCATTTCAACAAGAATTGTAGTTCATCATATCAAGGATGCTTAAAATATTCATATGAAAAAGAACTTCATATAAACTTTACTAGTAAGTTTGCTAATAATCAAATATAAGTTTAGGAAATGTAATAAAGCATTTTCCTCAAGTTGATTCAAGTGAAGCAAATTTTTTATTAGGCATCTCCTGAAGCTTCTCCTCACATTCTTTTTTCTTTTTTTTTCTTTCATTTTTTATTTTTATTCAGAATCTTTTCAATCCTTTTTTCACTTTTTTATTTCAAGCGAGGAATACTATATCTAGATAGTTTTTAATTATTTTGAACTTCACTATCCTCTTCTTAAAGTTAAAACTTTTTACCCTTCTTCACTTTATAAATTCATATAAATTCATATTAGAAATTCATATTAGTTTTGATGAATTTTCATTATGTCTCATTCTATTCTTCTTACGTGAAACTCTAAAATTTTTAATACTTAAAAAATTCATCTTTCTTTACTTTAAGTAGAAAAACATAGTCTTATCCTTCTATACCAAACATCTTTAACTTTAGAATTGACCTTTTTTATAAAAACTTTTACCTAAATTTACCATAATATCTACAAACATAAATATAGTCATTTAAAGTTAGGCTCAAATATCTAAGGCCATTTTAAATTAATTTTAAAATATTGTTAATTGAGGACAAATATAATTTACTTTAATCTTTTTTAAAAGAATTTTTTCTTTCCCCAAAAATTCAATTTTTAAATATGTAAAAATGTTTAGTACAAAAAAAAATTGTGTGGGTGAAAGAGAATAGTAATTGCATAAAAATAAAAACTAACATTTAGAGGATTTGTGAATATGAAACTAGGCTCTGGTATACTGTAGGTACAAACTTAAAAATACAAGTTTTAAAGCATTAAATGCAACACAGTATATTTCAAAGGATTTACTAAGAATTTAAAACATAAACAGAAACTAAAAATACTGAAAATATAGGAAAAATAAAAATCAACAATTTATATTTCATTCCACAGTACAACATTAAAATGAATGTTCCTACTACAAAAGTTTCAAAGAAAACAAATAACAAACATTCAAATTAACAAACAAACAAACTCCTAAAATAATAATAATAATAATCAATCTTCATCCTCTTCCTTATGATCATCATCGTCATCATCTTATTATTATTATTATTATTCTTCTTCTTCATCATGATCTTGCACATAACGAGTAAAACACAGGCAGGTTGGAAATTCTACATTGTAATCAGCCCTTAGATATTTTGTCATAACATCCTGATATGCTATATCATGTTGAACTCTCCTCTACTTATATTCATTATTATATGTGTTCCTTGCTTTAATTCCTCCAGTCCTATTTTACAGATTCACCGTATCCATTTGTTGTATCATAAACTAGTTCATAATGCTCTCAAGTGAAAAAGATTTGGAAGTCGATGCCCCTGTAGTAGATGTTGAGGGCCTATCACTTCCTCCACTCCTGACTTTAGCAAATGATTCAAATCTTTAGACTGTATGTCTCCCAATAGGATTTTTTGGCTGTAGCTTTTTTTCATTTCTACGGATCTCTACTCTTGATTGTTTACATAAAGTGAAAATCAGGGCAGGGTATCCCATACCACTAGCTATAGTACTCCTGTCTATACTCTGAGCATGATGTACTATAAGAGTACGAACATCTACTGCCTTCATTTGTTGAATGCAAAAGTGTAGCATAGCTCTATCTCTTGTTATCTTGTTTCGATGATTTGTTAGAAGCAATTTAGCATAAATGAAGTAATCACATACTTTTGATTGAAAAATGATAATGGATGTGGAGAAAATAACTTTCTTATTGTTTTTAATTTTTCCATTCTCCCCTTCTACCAGTCAAAAAGGAAAGTACTTCATTCATTAATGAATCAGTTATAACAAATGTGATGTATTCGCAATGGATTAGATTCCTCAGTCCATAAAATGCATTGATTTTTTCTCTAGAAAACTCAACTT